TGCCCTTTCACCTCAGACGCCCCCACGAGCCCCAGGCCAGCATCTGCCTCTCCTGTCCCACCCATGGGAGCCAAAGTCCATCTCTGCCACTTGGGAGAACCCAGCAGAGTCCAGGACAGGAGCTTGGTAGCCAGGCTGTCCTTGGGGCAACTCTAGGCTCCCCGGGGGTCATTAAGGATGAGGAGTCCAATGGTTGGGTGTAGGCCCCTGGAATGGAGAGGTTGGTCAATGGATGGACAGGCAAACAGGACAAGACTTGGGACAGAACTGGCACCCAGGAGACAGCCAGGAAGCCCCTGGCACAGCACTGCCCGGGACCGATCCTAGGCTGAGGAGGCCTGGCGTCTGTTCAGGCTTGGGAGCCTAGTGGGACCCTGCCTGCTGCTTCTGGTTCTAGCTAGGGGGACTCCAGGGAAGCCTAACTGCCAACCACTGCCTGAACTCCTACAAGGCCGTCTCCAGGCATGGGGACATAGCACCCATCCTGGATAGGCTGGGGTGGGCCATGGGCGGGAGGGATGGTGGACGCATATCCCTCAGACTCTACTCTGCGGCAAAAGTGCCTCAAACTGAGGCTTCACAGGGCAGTGCTTCACACATTTCTACTCTGTCCTGAGGCCCCCGAATCAGGGTGAGCCAGGCAAGTCTACCCTGGAGTCTCTGGGGCCCTTCTCCTGCCTCTTCCAGCCCCCGTGGCCCTAGGTGCTCCTTACTCATCATGCCTCTGAATCCAGTCTCATCTTTAATTACATCTGCAAAGATACTTTTGCCAGTTAAAGTCAATTTCACAGGGCCTGGGCACCAATATATCTTATGGGAGTCACCATCAACCCACTTTATAACCCCCCTTCACAGGGTCTGGAGAGCATTCTAGAAGACTCATATCATACCCAACCTCTGGGGAAGGGGCTGTAGCTCAATGGTAGAGTGTTTCCTAGCACACAAAGCCCAGGCTTTGAGTCCCAACACCAGAAAAAAACTGGGTGAGGTGGTGCAGGTCTGTCATCCCCATCCCAGCACTCTTGAAGTGGAGGCAGGATCAGACGTTCAAGGTTGTCATCAGCTACATAGAGTCTGAGAGCAACCTGGGTAACATGAGACCTTTTCTCAGAGAGGGGAGACAGAGAGAGAGAGAGAGAGAGAGAGAGAGAGAGAGAGAGAGAGAGAGCTGAGTTCTGAGCTGTGGTTGGCTGCCTCTTGCTGCTCAAGTCACCCAGAGCTGACCTTTTCAAATTCTTGGTTCTAATCTCTCTTCTGTGGTTCAGTAGGAAAGGGGAAGAGGGAGACTCTGTCACGGTACCCAGCAGGGATGGTGCCTTGGGAACCAGCGTGGGGCTCCCCATTTTCAGCCCCAGATCACCCCTGGAGTATAAGCCAAGTGCCAGGGTCCCGCAGGAGGGCCGCGTGAAGTTGGGAAACGAACAAGTCCCCCAGGGAACAATCGGCAATGGAGTGAAAACACACCAGGGCCACAGGCTGGCTTCCTGGCCGCGCCGCGCCTCCTCGGGTTGTCTTCCTTGTCCTCCCCATCCCTCGCCACCATACACAAGGCCCCAGACAAGAGCAGGATGGAACAGAGGGTAAGCGAGGCTAGCCAGGGCAGCCTGGTCTCAGTAAGGAAGGTAGGCCTTTAATTTAATTTTATTTATGTTTTTATCTTATAATTGTTTTGCCAGCACTTATGTAAGTACCCACTCGTGTGCCACAGAAGCCAGAAGAGGGCATTGGATCATCTGGAACTGGAGTTATAGATGGTTGTGAGAGGTCATGTGGGTGCCGGGAATTGAACCCAGGTCCTCTGCAAGAGCAATAAGTGCTTTTAACTCCTGAGTCATCTCTCCAGCCTCCTTTATTTATTTTTAGAGACAGGGTCTCATGTAGCCCAGGCTGGTCTTGACCTCACTATGTAGCAGAGGATGACTTTGAACTTCTTTTTTTGGTCTATTTGAGACAGGGTCTCCCTGTAGCCCCAGTTGTCCTGGAACCCACTATGTAGACCAAGCTGGCCTTGAACTCAGACATCTGCCTGCCTCTGCCTCCTGAGTGCTGGGGTTAAAGGTACTGATCACCATACCAGGCCTGACTTTGAACTTCTTTTTTTGGTCTATTTGAGACAGGGTCTCCCTGTAGCCCCAGTTGTCCTGGAACCCACTATGTAGACCAAGCTGGCCTTGAACTCAGACATCTGCCTGCCTCTGCCTCCTGAGTGCTGGGGTTAAAGGCATACACCACCATGCCTAGTGTCACTGGCAGTCAGTTTTAAAGACACAATTCATAGAAAAAATAATAATAATAAAGATGATAAACTACAGACTACTTAACAAAAGCTATGCAAAGTAGGAGGAAATGGGTAGACATCTTTGAGGCATAAATGTTTTAGAACTTATTCAACATTATACTTTAGACAAGGAA